TTCGTGCAGGGATGATCTCCATTCCTCTTCATTATTATTTCATTAATTATGGAATTATCATAATATTTATTGTCAATTCCATATTGTTTATGTCAATTTTATTATTATAAAATTATTGTTTAACGATTTCAAACCGAAATTAGAATTAACTTTGGTATTAATCCAATTTGACTTGCAGTATTTCAGCGTTAATCCACTTGCTATTAGAAATCAACGAGTAATGAAAATCGATTTGTAGAATCAAGTTAAGCGACGAGGCGAGTCGTAAGATCTGTTATGAAAATCGATTGTCATTATTCCGAATTTATGCATGTGGAACACTGGCAAAGCTGTTTCATAATCCTGTTAGCATAGCTTCAGCTTTATTACCCCTGTAAAATCGGAATCGTCAAACATACTCCACGAATCGTGAACGTTCCACTATTACAATATCACTTAATATTAATATTATTTCATACAATTTCAGAAAATAAAAATCTCAAAGGAATTCTCTATCTTCCTTTTCCATTTTTCCATCAAAGAACTCATTAACCCTTTAATCACCGACCACAAAAATTGAGTAAAAAATTAAAACAAGTGCTTTTCGTGCCATTCCTTTTAGCTCTCTTCGCAAAGAATTGCAAGCTCTATTGTGATGGTCAGTTTTTCATTTTTTTCTTTTTTTCAAAATATTTGTTTCAAAGGACCGAATGTTAAAGACTATATTATCCTAATGTTACCATCTTTGACATCGTTAAAGTTTCGTTCTACGAGAGAGAAAGGGTTAAACAATGCAATAAATAAAAATATATTCGAAGAACCTACTCAAATCACCATTCACCATCAGTCTCAACAACTGCTTCCCCCATTTTAATAATAAAAATTCCAAAACCCGTTTAACAACCTAAAAAGTCCCAAAAATTATCTCCCATGCGGGAAAATTAAAAAGGAAGATTAACCGGACGATCGAAACGATCGTGAAATTAATTATCGTTCGCTAATTAACACCGGTGCACCGTTGGAATACCGATTCCGTGTTCGGGGCTTAATCCAGCCGCCATTATTCGGTTATGAATGTCGACGGAATCGTTTGGCCAGCTCCGAGTGGCTTTTCGCCCGAGATCGGGACGACTGGTAACGATGACCTCGGTTAAATCCCGGGCTAAAGCGGGCTCGTTACAAAGTGGCGACCATTACCGTAAACACGTGGCCGGCAAATTGATTTTAAATCGCCCTGACCGCCGCCCCTCGTTCGTCCAGCGAAACACCCCGGATTTGCCCGCTCGATCGCAGCTTTTCAACATTCGAAACGTCCAATGCGCGAGTTTTCGTTCTAGGGGTAATCGCGCGATCAACAGACTTGCTTCTCTGGCAATGTTTCGGCAATCGTCGTTTTATTGTACGGAGGCCTGAGTGGGGGTAGGGGGTTGACGTTTGCACGCGTGTGTGGGTTCTTTGGAGGTTTTCGGAGATTTTTAGAGACAAAAATCTTGTATCTTCTGAGGATTTTTGAGTATTTTCAGGGGGTTTTAACATTTTGACTGCCATGTTGGTCATATATGACCGGTCACGGCTTTTCCTTTGAAGCCACGGTGGTCGTTGATCACCGGAGTGCTTGAATTATTTGTAAATCGTAAAATTACGATTGTAAAAATTGAATGAAAATTGACAGTTAGTGGATTTTGAATATAACCGCTAATTGGAAGATACTTTGAAATAAAAGATGCCCCATTGAACAATTAAAAATTTTTATTAGAACGTCGATTGGAAAAAATATTGAAACAAATCTTGCATCTATCGGGGTGCACCCCTGTGGCGTCCTGAGCGAAACATGTGATTTGGGCGTGACAATCAAAGGGTTAAGGATTTTGGGGGCGAGGGAGCTTGCTCTTTGGTGTAATTATATTAATTATATTGTAATTATGGAATTATATTATATTTTGTGTAATTATATTGTTGTGGTGCACAGGGTGTCCTATGATCCTTTCTGAAAAGGTACTATAGTCCTTTCTAAAAATGTCCTATGGTTCTTTCTGAAAAGGTCCTATGATCCTTCCTGAAAATGAAATTTTTGAACGAAAAGAGGAAGTATTCTTTTACTGTAGATGTGTTCTATGGTCATATGTCATGTGAAAATCTATTATAAATAGTTCATGATTATTTTATTAAATATTTTTTAATTACTTCAAGTATCGTTGCCAAGAGAATTGGAAGAAAATGGAAGACAGTTGTTTCTTGGCTTTTGTAATAAAACGTGTCATTTTTGAACATTTATCTCTTCTTACTACTATCTCCTTTTTTCCTACAACTCCCATTAACCACTGTACGAAACTCAACAATAAATCATACATTAAAAACGTAAATAAAGACAAAATAAAATTTATTATTAATTTTGTATTTAATTAATATTATATTAGTTCATATACCTGACTACTATCCTCTCTTAATAACAATCCCTTCTTACAACCACCTGCATTTAACCACCAATACATCAAATTAAATTTTATTTTAACTTTTCACCACTGTATCAGCATACCTAATTAATATTATAATTTCACCATTACACCGGCGTTAAAAATATATTTACAGCAAATATAATCATCAACCCCTATATATAGGCTCGTATCAATTTCTTTTTTAAATAAAAAAAATAAAGTGAGAAATAGCAACAATTTTTCCTTGCAAGAAACTAAAATCTCGACTACAGAGGGGTAACGAGACACAAATTGACTACTATCCTCTTCCAATAACAACCCTCTCTTACAACCACCTGCATTTAACCATAAATACATCAAATTAAATTTTATTTTACCTTTTTACCACTGTATCATCATACCTAATTAGTATTATAATTTCACCATTACACTGGGACTAAAAATATATTTACAGCAGTTACCCTTATATATCATCAACCCCTATTTATATATAGGCTCGTGTCAGTTCCTTTTTTAAATAAAAAAAGAAGGTGAGAAACGGCAACACTTTTTCCTTGCAAGAAACTGAAATCTCGACTACAGAGGGCTAACGAGACACAAAAGGAACCCGTTTGTGGAGCAACAAAAAGATAGCTAGTCGAATTGTGAAACATGAAATATAGTTGAAATGAACTTCGCCCGTGGTTATCTATCCGGTGAACCCGTGGCACCGGTCGACGTTTGTTTTATCGATGCATAAAACCAGGCAGACGATCCTTTTTCTCGGTCGGCCATGAAAAATTGCAGTGTCCTGGAAGGATTTTCGTCGCGGTTTATCTGCGCCACGGAACTCCGCGACCTCGTTCCCTTTGTTGCTCGCGCCATGCTTGATTAACTCGCTTTATCTCGATTCCTCGTCGATTTATTAGCGAAACCACGTCTCTGCCTCGCTACGAATACGGTGCTAATAATTTCGAATCCATTGGATTAGTAGAAATCGTAACAAAAATGCCGATGAGCGTCGCGAACAGAAAGAGATAAGTATTGATCGCAGAAAATTCTTCACTCCAATTATAGGTACATTCTGAACAACAATTTTTACAAAAATATACCAATTATAAAATATAAAAATATACCAATTATAAAATATAAAAATATACCAATTATAAAATATAAAAATATACCATGGCTTTCATAAAAATCACAGGAAAAATTAAGAAAGAACAGTAAACTGGAAGCAAAATATAAATTAAGGAAAATTATCCAGCACCATCTAGATATCCAATGCTACGAAATACAAGGAAAATAAATCCTGACAAAACCCTAAATAAAAATGCAGATATATAAAAGGAAGTTAAAATAAAATCAAAGCAAAGATTCGTCCAAATTACTCACCCTCGTCTAAAAATTCAATCGTACCAGACCATAACCACCCCTAACCCCCAAAAGAAATCCCGCAAGAAGCTAAAAATAAAACGCAGATACAGAGAAAAGTCTGATCATTAAGCAATTTATTATCCAAAGAAGAGGAACGAGGGTCTCCACTTTGAAAAACCATCCTCGTCGCGACTTCTCGTCGAGGGCCATTAACGTTTCTAATGAGCAGTACTCACGCTACGAATAGATCCATGGGCCTCGTCGATCGCGATCTATCGACGCGTCGTCTACCAGGAAACAAACTTGCTGGAAAAATCACGAACAGGGACACGAGGAATGGAGAATTCATGGCATAGTAACGACACTTCGAGGATTCGAAGGCTTCCATGATCCCAAGGTACCACGTGGTGTTCGAGGGTTGCAAACGAAGAAATTTCTTTAGGAGAGATGACAACGTGGTCCATCGTGCTTTATCCTGGTCTTGCACGATTTTCCACGAGCAAACTACGGGTTTTTGACAGTAGAGAAAACTGAAATTAATGGTGAGAATGGTGGCAAGTTGGAGGCTGGTAAAAAGTGATAAATTGTAGGAAGAATGATGCCTGAAGATTCTAGGAATGGTAATGGACGAGAGTTTTTATTTGGAGACGAAATAATTAATCACAGATCAATAGTTCAATAATATACATATTTTTTAATTTTTATTAGACAATATGCAATTTGTTTTAACGAATAAGTGTCTGCGAGATTAGTGAATAAAATTTGATAATGAAATATTTAATACGTGTCTTCGAAGTATGGTAAAAATTATGAGAAATATTTTTCATTAATATCACATCTCCAATAATTCCAATGATACTTTAGCTACAAGTAATCACATATAATTATATTTCTAATCTAGAAATTTTTTGCTCGGGGATAGCATAATTAATAGAGGGTTATTAAAAATTCCTCGTATTCGTTATTTCATATTTCTCAGCCTCAAAATAAAAGACACGAATTTTTCCTAATATTCAAGTAAGGGGAACAAAATTTTCAGTCAGCCCTAAAAATTTTCTCTCATTCTCAGTTATCTATAACAACAAAATTTCAATTATTTACTGCCCCTAGAAGAGAGGGGATAAAAATACTATCCTCCAAATTATACGCCAACAAAAATATCTAAAAAACCAAAAAAGAAAGAACAAAGGAAAAAATTCAAAAAACAAGTAGAAAAATAGAACAGGATGTATTCTACGATTTCTAAAAATTCTACGACAAACCGACAACACCATAAACAAACATCGTTTATTGCTCGTATGAATCTCCGATTCGAATTACAAAGCTGAACACACTACTCAGAGGACGTAATTCATCGATCCAACCCTAACACAGCACACTTTGCTGAACGATGTCATTCTTGTCGAATTCTATGGGCCATCTCGTTTCCGCTGTAAAGGGAAACAAGCTTTATTTATCTCGCTGTGCCTATTTAGCTCTCTGGCTAGCCTAAACACTCTACACAGCCCGAGTGTAGGACACAGAAGAAGCAACGTTTTCTCTTCAATTTTCCACTCTGGAACATGACACACGGTGAAACGAGCTCTCTCTCTCGAGTTTCTAAAAAAAAAAAAAAAAAAAAGAAAAAAGATAAAAGAAAGGAAAGAAAGCAGCGACACGTGTCACTTGAACGAGCCACGGTTAATGACATGTGCCAAGGACTAGTCATCCAGTTTGAGGTGTTGGCTGAAACTCGAAGAGGAATTTCGTGTTGCACGTTAGGGGATGACGGCTCTTTTCATTCGAGGCTCGCGAATGCGAAATAACAGCAGACTCGTTCAGACAGTATCGACGATACGTTTATTTCATATTTTCCTTTTTTATCTTCTTTTATTTTCTTTTTCCTCTGTTTGCTACGCTATTAAATGCTAGACGGATGAGGCGACTTTCGCTCGTCCGACTCGCGTCTTCCGGTATCGTGCTTATCACTGGGTTTCCAGACGATCCGAAGGCGATATCGACCCAGCAAGAACCCGCTTCTCTTCACTGGTTTAAATCGAGAGCTCGAAGGGAGCCTCGGATCGTCCAGAATAAACGCTCGAGAACGCAGGAAACGTTACAGGGTTCGTCGGAAAATTCGTTGCTACTTCCCGTGAAGCTCCTTGGCCGATTAAACTAGGGCTCTGAACTAGAGTACCGAGTACAATATTCGTGGGAAATCAACCTCGAAATAAAAGCTCAACGACTTGCGAAGCTCAAACAACTGTCAATACACGCTACAATTATTCGTCTAAGTATCAGTAGAGTTACATCGATACGTTTCTCTCGAATTTCTCGCAGTACAGCTTGGGTGTTAAATGTACACGGTACAAGAAAGTCCACTAGAAGAGTACAAAAGTGTCCAAACAGCGCTTCAGGAGAGTTCCACTGAGTTATCTTATGTTGACATCGCATGAGATTTATCTATATATTATGAGGTTTACAATACAGAAAATTCGTGAGATCCCGAACACATTGCACGAAGCGAAAGCCAAAGCGAAAGCGAAAACGAAAACGAAATTCCCTAGAATTTTTTGGTATATATTCATCGAGGTATCTAGGTCTAGCTCCCCTCGCGCGGGATCCCAATGAAGCAGGGACTATGTTGCCCGGAAACGAACAGATTTCGCTCAGTTTTGCGACAGCGTCGGGATTTAGGGAGCCGGCCAAACTTTTCCGAAAGCCTCGGCTTTTTTCGCTCGATACGGACCCAGGTGGCGCTGCCTCCGCGCGACAAATCCCGGATTAAACCGGCGGGAACGCGAGATAAAGCAACCTGGCCCGGCCAGCCTTCTGTCACCCTTTTTCTCGCTCTCGTTAAAGGCTAACTTCTTTCCGCGAATTTTGAAATATCCTCCCCGTGCCTGGTAAACGCTTCACAGGAACCAGCAACGGCGCCATCTTCCTCCGCTTCCTGTTGTCAATTCGAAATGATCCAAGCCCGCCAGTGGTGTACCAGTATCCCTATTCTTCTCACCTTTCTTCCATCTTGAACACATTTATCCGATTTTCCTTCAACTGGAATATCACAATGACAAATAATACCTTGACAGTTAAGAAACTATAGGAAAAATACAATGATCCAGGAAAAATATCGACCAAACTTGATTAGAGAACTCGTTAGAGGTCTCTTGACAGGATCTTGCTCGTTGGACACCTAATCTGCGATTGACACTGAATTTATCTCCCCGCTGTAACATCTAGGTGACTGTCCACTGTGAACACTTTCGTTTGGCATTAACTTGGATGAAGTATGGCAACGATAACGATATTTTTCTCGATAGGCAAGGAAATTCCAGGATGCATCGACTTCGACTGAGATCGTGATATTTCGATTGCTGGGTTTCTCAGAATAGGATCTTTTCTATGGGAAACGTGATCCTCGTTGAAGAACAGGAATTTGACAGATTCTAGGATGAGCCGGGTTTATCTGCCTGCAGCAGGAGGATCTTGGTGACCGTCTTCTGGTGGCTGGGAACGTGACAGGTGGACTGCAACGGGACCACGAATCTAGCTCGTTTCTTGATATCAGCTGACAGTCTGTCGTCTGTCCAGCCCAGGACTGACAGGGCCCGAGTGACAGCAGCCTGGATGATGTCGTAAGACCATCCTTCGCGATGCTTCCTCGGCCTGCGAATTCTTAATGGTCTTTGACGACGTTTCCGTGCGAGCCTTCTTCTTCCCCTGGATCGCAGATCCACGGCCTGTTGCAGATGGCGCTGGGTGGAACACTTGGAACAACAACAAAAGGAACGTTCTCCACGTCGGCGTTTCTCCCTTTTCTTATTTTTATCTTTCTCTATTCCCTTATTCCTGTCTTGCGTTATTTTTCCCTCGGTTCTGTCTTTTATTACGCTTCGATTTGCTTTTCGTTTCGAGCTTTCGATCGTTTCTTTGGAGCTTTTCGATTCTCATTGTTAGGTTGGTCGGTTTCGATAATGTCGACGCGAGAATTCACGAAGGGACGAGCATTCTGGTCGGCGATAGTCGGTTCGATTTGTTTCGGATTTACTGCTATTTTTTACTGCAACCAAAAAATCGTGGATCATGCTGTTAACGCTGCAAGAAGAGGGTGGTTAACCCTTCGAGTGGTGAGTGGTTTTCCGGTGATCTTTACACTGAAAATTTTCATTTTCATTTTCTTTTTCTTTTTTGGTTAACAATTAGGTTTGCGAAATATACATATTCATATTGTAATTTCTTTGGTAATTTTGACGATGATGTCGGTTGCTGGTCGCTGTTTTCAGAGTTCGTGCGACCTGTGGGATACTTATACACCACTGAAAGGGTTAATCGTGAAAAATAATTAGGAGCTTCTTGGTTAAGGATGCTAAAAAGAATAAGGGGACGATGAAGATGTGAGAAATTGGTCGATTACCGGAATTGTAAGAGAAGATGAAAAAATAATTTTATAACCACTACTAAACCGTCTATGTAATGTGTATTCCTTTAATTCGAAAATGGGAACGAGAAGAAGTGACGAGGAACGATAAGAGATCGAATAAAACGAGGTGCAACCAGAAGTCATAAATAACGCAATTCGAATACTCCTTTTGAACAATCCAGTATATTTAATGGCAGCTTTCCAATAAATAACAATTATAAACAATTAAAAATACATGTATCTTTACTATCGTATCATGCTCGTATGAAATCTGTGTAGAATGGAGTTTCATAGGGAATCGGTGATTCCCAGCGAAACCTGACGGAATTCTAATAGAACTATATAAATTTCCCTCAAATAGTGCCTTTCGTTTACGGTCTAATTCCCTTTCTCGTTTTTGTTCTAATCGTTTCGACTGACCTTCGAATCTCCAGCGCCGAGGAACACTAGACCTATAGCACCAGCGTACGCCAATAACGTGTCCACTGCCTGTTGAGTCTCCAGCAGGATCCTGGTCTCGTTCATCCATTCCCTGGCGATGGACCTTGGCGCACCTTTCAGCAGGTTCATGTAGCGGAGGGTCATCTTGAAGTCACCACGATCCAGCCAATACCTGCGAACAGACAGAGTCGGAGATTGTTAGTCGAAATGTGATGATTCTGATATGTGATTTTTACTATTCGAAAGGAAAATAACTTTTTCCAAAATAGGATTTTTTTTTTAATAAAGAAACAGAATTTTATTATTATTTATAAGAAGAATTTTTGGGAGTTGAAACCTTCCTTATGGTAAAAAATAAAAATAAAAAATAAAGTATTTGGATTGTACTTCATTTGTCAAAATATTTCATTTGTAGAATTATCAATCTTTTTAGTTATATTTTCTTTACTTGGAAGGGAAAGAATTTATTTTATAATCAATATTTTTTATTTTTGAAGAAAAGAATAGAATTTTTATTATTTAGTAGAATTTTTTGGAGCTGAAGTTTTTCTCTAATTGAAAAGGAAAGTGTTTAGAATGTACCTGGTTCGTCAAAATAGGAATACACATTTTTTTTAGTTACATTTTCTTTATTTGAAATGAAAAGAATTTATTTTATAATCAGTACTTTTTATTTTTGAATACAAGAATAGAATTTTTATTATTTGGAAGAATTTTTTGGAGCCGATTTTTTTTTTTAAATTAGAAAGGAAAAGTATTTAGAATATATCTAGTTTATCAAAATAGAAATACAAATTTTTTTAGTTAGATTTTAATTATTACACTTGGAATGAAAAGAATAGTTTTTGGGCTAAAGGAAAAAATTTTTTGAAGTTGAATTTTTATTATTTGGAACGAGGAGAAATTTATATATTCTTTTATTAATATAAAATGGAAGCTGCCTAAAGTTTATCAATTCTTAAATTAATTTGTGTACTCAAATTAAATCTCTTGGTAATTAATAGAATAATATGTTTCTCGCTTTTCATCCTCAAAAATCGCTGCTATGCTCGAATACCACGTATGATATCGCGCAATTAGTTTATTCATCGTGATTCACTCCCACGATTTGAATTTCACTTACGAAATCCGATAGATTGGAAGAGCAAAACAAGAGGGGAAAAACTGGGATAAAATAGAATAAAAAGCGTTGAAAAGCAATGGAAAATCGGAGTCTGATATCCGATAATCTCGATGGGCGGTGCTTTCAGGAAACGATCATCCAAATTACCTGTCGACCGATCAACGAACGAGGCATAAACATAAAAGTGTGGTGGTGGGACGCAAGTAGAAGGGGGCTGCAATGGTCTCGAAAAATTTGTAGAGGCTATTTTCAGAAATTGCTTGGAAAAGGGTTACCTAGAATCTTCTATCAGTTTATTTTACACCCCTGTTTTCGACATACTTATTCCATAGTTTCATTTCCAGAAAATATATTTTACCCTGTTACTATGAAAATCGGAAAATACGGTGGTTAGAAAAATTCACACAGACTGTCTTAAACGAAAGAAATTAAATTAAATCGAATTTTCCCTTAATATTAAATTTTCTAGGTAATAGAAGTATACTTAAAAATATCTCTATTGGTGAAATTTCTGTCAGTACTACAAAATAATTAGAATAATATTTTTGAGTACCAAAGAGACATTATGCATAAAGATTTA